GCCGCCGCGAGACGCGGCTGGTGGAGATCGACAACGGGCGGCAGCGCGAGTTCGAGAGCAAACTCTCCGAGGCCCTGCAGGAGCTGAGGAGCCAGCACGAAGCCCAGATCCGGCTCTACAAGGAGGAACTGGAGAAGACCTATGGGGCCAAGGTGAGCAGCACCCCAGGTACCCCTGGCGGGTGGGCAGAGGGTGCTGAGGGATTTGTCGCCCACCCATCCCGCCCTTCCAGCTGGAGAACGCCAAGCAGTCGGCGGAGAGGAACAGCAACATGGTGGGTGCTGCCCACGAGGAGCTGCAGCAAACCCGCATCCGCATCGACAACCTCTGGCGAAGCTGCACGACCTGGAGGACATCCTGGCCAGGGAGCGCGAGACCAACCGGCGCCTGCTGTCGGACAAGGAGCGGGAGATGGCCGAGATGCGGGCCGCCCCTCACCGTCCCTCCCTGCACAGTTGGCCGCCAAGGAGGCGAAGCTGCACGACCTGGAGGACATCCTGGCCAGGGAGCGCGAGACCAACCGGCGCCTGCTGTCAGACAAGGAGCGGGAGATGGCCGAGATGCGGGCACGCATGCAGCAGCAGCTGGATGAGTACCAGGAGCTGCTGGACATCAAGCTGGCTCTGGACATGGAGATCAACGCCTACCGCAAGCTGCTGGAGGGCGAGGAGGAGCGGTGAGCGCGGGGCGCCCGGTGGGTGCTGTAGGTCCCAACCCTCCTGTCCTCACTGACTCCATCTCACCTTCTCCTCCTGTCCAGGTTGAGGCTGTCCCCCAGCCCCTCCTCCCACAAAGGGGGGTCCCGTAGCCACATGTCCTCTGCCCCGGGCTCCTCCAAGAAGAGGAAGCTGGAGGACAGTGAGAGTCGGACCAGCTTCTCCCACCACGCCCGGACGAGCGGCCGCGTTGGGGTGGAGGAGGTGGACCTGGAGGGACGCTTTGTCCGCCTCAGGAACAAGTCCAACGAGGTGTGTTTGCCTTTTGGGGGGCTCCCTGGGGGTGTAGTTCACCCCGCGGGCAGGAGGTGAGCTGGGAGCGGCTGGGGAGGAACCGGGGGGTCTCAGGGTTGCTGCTGCCCCTCCCGCAGGACCAGGCGATGGGGAGCTGGCAGGTCAAGAGGCAGAATGGAGACGACCCCCCCCTCAACCACCGCAGTTCACCCTGAAGGCTGGTCAGACGGTCACGGTGAGTCCCCCCCACTGAGGGCTCCAGCCCAGATCCCAAACCCAGCCAAGACTCCGAGGTTCCTTGGCCGTGGCTTTTTTGTTTGTAGTGTGTGTGTGTGGGGGGGGACAGACCTGAGATGTTGCTTTTTTCTCCGCTTCTCTACTTAGATCTGGGCCTCGGGGGCCGGGGCGACCCACAGCCCCCCCAGCAACGTGGTGTGGAAAGCCCAGAGCAGCTGGGGCTCCGGGGACAGCCTGCGCACCGCCCTGATCAACTCCAACGGGGAGGTGAGACCCCCCCCCCGGCAGCACCCGAGGGGCACAGGGGGGGGCACTGACACCCCAGCACCCCCCCAACCTCCTGCTCCTGTTCCCCCTGCAGGAGGTGGCCATGAGGAAACTGGTCCGCACCGTGATCATCAACGATGAGGATGAGGATGAGGATGATGAGGAAGTCAGCATCCGCCACCACCATCACCATGTGAGTTGGGTGCTGGGGAAGGTGCTGGTCCTGGGGTAGGGGGGGTCTGTCCCAGGGGTGCTGGGGGGAGCTCCAGTCCAGTCCTGGGCAGGGTGGGAGGCTGCTCAGCACCATGCAGGATCAGACCACATGGAAGAGGCTGCTGTGGAGCCAAGTGAAGGGGAGAAGCCACCAGATCTGGGAAGGAAGGAGGCATTAGGAGGGGGAAGGTGTTAGGGAGGCACCAGGGAATGAGGTGTTTGGACACTGCGAGGAAATTCTTCACTATGAGAAGAGAAGAAGACTCAAGATCCCTTAGAAGACTTAGAGCAGCTTCCAGTGCCTGAAGAGGCTCCAGGAAAGCTGGGGAGGGACTTTGGAAAAGAGCAGGGAGGGATGGGATGAGGGAAACGTTTTCAAGCTGGAAGAGGGGAGACTGTGAAGAGACCCTAGGAAGAAATTCTTGGCTGTGAGGGTGGTGAGACCCTGACCCAGGTTGCCAAGAAGCTGTGGCTGCCCCATCCCTGGAAGTGTTGAAGGACAGGTTGGATGAAGCTTTGAGCACCCTAGAAGGTGGGAGGTGTCCCTGCCCATGGCAGGAGGTGGGACTGGATGATCTCTAATGTCCCTGCAACCCAAACTAGTCTGGGATTCCATGATTCTGTGACCTCTGGCACCTGGAGAAGATTACCACTTGCTAAGAAAGCTCTAGAGGCCTTGCTGGAGGTCATCTCCAACCCCAAGCAACCTTGACCTTCTGGGAAAAGGGCTGGAGGAGCCAGAAGGGAGGCTGAGCTGGAACCTCACATCACTCAGAGATGGAGCACAGGATGGTGGGAAGTTGATGGACGACACTTCTCCATGGCAGCTACTTCATCCTCTCCACAAGGGCACTGGACCAAATCCAGAGGTGACTTTGTCCTTCCTCTCAGCCCATCACTCCCCTCATGGAGCTGGAAGATGCACTGGGAGGAGCAGTGGGCAGCAGGCAGGAGCCCCTACTCCCCATCTCAAGGTGTCCATCCCTGGCTGCAGCTCCGGGGCCCCCACCAGCCCATCCCTCCAGGAGGGATCC